ATATATACAACATCTACTCTTGAGACCCATATAGTCGGCACAAGGGTCCGAGAGCAACGCTAAGAAGATAATTACATCTAATTACCATGTACACATGCTATCGGAGAAGCAGATCTCTAGAACCGAAGCTAAATCATGAAGCGAGGCCTCAGCTAATTTTCGCCATAGTGCAAAATAGCAAAGCTTGCTGTCATAGTCATGAAGCTGAAGAGTGATTCGAAGAAATTCATCGTGTGATAATAACCCCCTAGAAACTGACGGAGTATCGAAAGGAAATCTAGAAATGACTACCAATTTACCCTGAGGTGTAAATGTAAGCGGCATCCTCGGTAGTTGTAACAAGCGCTCTGTACGGTAAGTTCGAATCCTTTTGACCTATACGCTTAGACGACATAATCGACGAGGCGCTCGAAGGACAAGCTTGGATCTTCTTTCAGGCTGAAAGAGTGTTAACTTTTGCTGCCTGCATCCGTTCGCCTCAATGAGAGAAGTCGTGTACCGCTTTCGGTATCGGCAGATGTTGTTCTTTCAGCACAGAAACGAGTCATACGTGTGCTGGTACTAGACGTGTTTTACTTTGTGTGCGTGTTTGTGTATTAGATGTTTACAGGTGGAGATTCGCTGCTAACAGCTATGTACACATTCTTCGCGCCTTTCGTTCATGCACATAAAGGAGAAAAGGCAATCCTCTATGAAGCTTGTCTTCAATTTAGAGTCAATTGATTCACTTATTAGTAATTGTCTGTATAACATTTTCAGGACAAATAACGGTACGGCATGTAAGGCATACTTTTGTATGCCTATTGTTATCCATTAGAGTATGACTGCGACGTCAGTTGCAGTCTAATACTAATTTTCTCACACTGACAGGCATGATAAATTGTTAACAAATAGCTTTATTGTTCGGGCCAGCTATTGAAACAAAGAGGTCGAACGCACATTTTTTTTTGTCGGAAACAGCCTTTGCTTGTTCTGGCCGTACGTCTGTGTAGGCCATCGCGAACGATCTATGCATTATATTCCGTTGGCCGTTTTTTCGCAAGAGGAACTTGCGATACATTTGTATAAATGTTATCTTACATTTTTTGCTCGGCCTATGCCTGTTTTATATAATATATATATATATATATAATGATTTTCTAATCGTAGCATTATTACTAATATGCAACCCGAATAGCAATCCGTTCCTAGTTATCGATCCTAGTATTTATCAGCATGCGTGCGGTTCGTTTCCAAACACACAGATATTTTACCTTTTAATATTATATATATATAATATTCTGTACTGTTTATGTAGCATAAATTAATCTACAGATTTCTCACTATATTCGTATGTTGATGACGTCCGCTGGCCCTGACGAGAGTCTGCTATGGCTGCTGTTTTTATGTTTATGGCCTATGTCGACAATTTTTCGTCAGGTAAATGCCGGTCTTGGTACAGTTCTAAATACGTTATTTTCGTCTGACGATGCGTAATGTTAACTTTTGCCAGAACCGTATTGCACTTAATGTTTTTTGTACCTCATTGCGTTGATTTTATTTTTAAAGTACCAATAAACCTGATAAACCAAACACATAAATATTTGGAGAATATTGATCACTGGCGCTCGTGCGTATATAAAATCGTTTAGTCAAGCTTCGTTTTTACAGTGGAGATAAGTGATGATTGGGGGCTGCTGAAGTCCAGCGGAAGTCGACTCTTATTTTCATTGTTACGCATGCGGCGGGAACGGATGCGTTGTCGATTGCGGCATCCTCTAAATAATCTCCATGGACGTGTGGATGTGGATGGCTGTGTGTGTGTGTGTATGTATGTAGGCATTTCTGCATGATAGGGATGCAGTTGTTATCTGTCGTGTGGTGATTTTCCATATTTGTTCTTACCTATATATTTGTGCCAACTAGAATCGGGTCGGCACGATAAATGTGGATGGATGTACGAACCGATCTAGAGAGATCCTGTGGGGTATATGCGGTTCATATTGTACAATGATGGCAATACAAGGGAAATAAGCGCCTCTTCAAGTGGACAAATCAAGGTGCTGTTTCATCTTGTGTTTTCTGTGGCTAGTGCGTTGGGCGTCGAGCTTGGTTTCCTTTGATGTGTCGCTTTATGTATCTTTATCCGTATGCTTTTTTTATCTTGTATGTTCGTGGGTGTTTTTATTTAGTTCTGCGTTTATTTATTTATCTCATAATCGTTTTCAAAAAATCGTCATGAGCACCCTGCATGGGCTACTATAGGTACCATAAGTTGCGCCATATATTCATATAATAGTTAGTAACAACTTAAATTCATTACAGTGTTTGTAATGCAGCTTGCATTATTATTAATAATATCGGTAATAATAAATACTTAATTGCGTAATTATATGTAATAGTAATAATTTATTGCTTACTATCAACGGTATTACTTACTGTACACTGAGAATTCAAGAACGTGAGGATTGCCCCAAGGATCCTTTTGTCGTTTCGACCCTCGTAACTTTTGGCTACGATCTATCGATCATCTTTGCGAAACGTTATTTTTCAATATCCAAATCGACGTTCAGCAGACTACTGGTAGAAGCACTTTTATATATATATATATATATATATATATATATATATATATATATATATATATATATATAGACAGTTCTGCTGACTGGGTGACTAATTCCCAGATCCGCAAAAATTACCAGACCCATAAATGACGTTTCGAGGATGGTTACGAAAGAGGGCAGAAAAACACCATCTCAACTTCTCAGGAGGCAAAACATAGTTCGTGCCTCGTACGTCGAAAAACCAGCAGCAGCAGCAGCAGCAGCAGCAGCAGCAGCAGCAGCAACAACAACAACAACAACAACAACAACAACAACAACAACGAAGCGTGTATTGAGTCGCCATGGTATTCTACCGTAGTGTTGATGTACAGGAGAAAACATTCAACAATATCGCAGGTAACAGACAAACTCAAAGTAATTCGCATTCGACTCGTGAAGGGAAGTCGCATACTCTTGATGAATATCTCTCAAACACGGAAGTCTATATACCGCATTTACATACGCTAAGTACACTACACACCCACTCACAAATACACACATGGTGTATAGTCATGAAGGAATGCCAAACCCAAACTTCTGCATCTGGTACTATCTAGCCCGAGCTGAAAGAAACGTTCGGCTCCATATACACGCTCAAAATGTGGGTAAGAAATGATGCGCTGTTTTGTCTTTCGTACGTATTAGTCATCCGATTGGGATCTTCACTGCTGGCCAAGCCGAGGGAACCTGCTGATTCCAGCTATATTGAATAATTAATGGTTGGTACCGGTGAAGTAAAAGAGGTCAGACGGGGAGATCCTTGAGTCGCAGCCTCAGTGTTCTTGCGGTTAGGGATTCATATCCATCTATATATAATACACTGCCTTGTCTGAACAATGTCAGGATCGAACACAGAGGTTCAGAGATGTTCACGTACACTTCGCCAATACTGCAGCCTAATTTGGGATCGCTGTGTGCATAGCACACAGATTCTGGTCGAGTTCCTCTGATTTTGCCCTCTGAGCTAACGTCAACGAACTCATGTGCCTTCTCGTCGCATACTGAAGGGCTGGCAGAATATACCTGGTGCTTAGGTTTTTAGTTTTTGCAGGTAACAATCGATCAACACGAGCTCATTTCGTACGCCACCTTTCCCCTCGGTAGAAAGGCAGAACGAGTGCCAGTAACAGACCTGGATTACAGTTTTACGTATTTAGCGGTATCACGTAGAAGTCAATTCGGAGGCGGATACCTTTAGAACGGTACCATTGTCTTATCATAGTATGTATGGTTCAGTGCCAATGTTCACGTGTGACGCTTTTCAAACCCATATTCTATGCCTCTAGTAGAGTTCTGGGGAAGCACTAGAGGATGAGAGGGTGCAAAAAACTTGTGATTTTGATTGGGGGTTTTTCAGCTATCTAAAGTCGGACAACGGTCGGTTTTTGTCATTAGAGGCCTACCTGTGCAGAACTCCGATCTGCATTACCGAAATTATTGCTAACGGGAAAGGTTGCAGTTGTGCCTGATTGCATCCACAATGATTACCATTTAAAGTTGAACTTCTCCTCTTAATGTCGCTTGTAGTTTTCTAATATAGATTTCCGTTTCGCTACGCTTTGATTGCGTCCTCACTATTCTGTGTCAGGCTGTGATAAATCTGTCTCATAACGATATCTGCACGTTCGAAGTTGTGTCCGTCGTGTACCTAATGGCGTGCGATGTTTGGGTGTACCTGCGTCTGTTTGTGTCAACGTGTTCTTTTCATTGACTCTGCTGCGTCGTTTGCTGTTGTCAAGCGAGACAGAGGGAAAGAGGACGGTCTCTTCCTTTTTATAATATAATAATTTTTATAATATAATAATGGGATTCAAGGGGAAATAATTTACTTGTTGCTTTCACTTAGGTTTTTGGATGGTTCCGTAATATTTACGTAGTGGTTTAGGTATCCTCTTATCTGTATGCTTGTTTATGTTTGTTTTTAAGCTTTTTTACTTGCTACACAGTAACAGTTCAGCTATTAAGAAATATACCTACATGAAGCATCATCAATATTAGTTACATAAAATTGGTATTATAATACTACCTAGCTTTGCCTGTCTAATATACAAGCTCGTTTATGTTACATTATATATATCGCCTTATCTCATTGGGTCTACACTTCAAGCTGGGCGCCGGCCGTGGCAGCGATTCGGCGTATTGATTTTGTCAAAGATGACACCTGCTCACACAAACTACAAAGTAATAACAGTCGTAGCGGTATTATCGATAGTTATTTAATGGCGAAATAATAGTCATAACTAAGAGCAGAAGTGTCGTAACGCGCACGTATATAGGCGCGCGGGAAGCCGGCAGAAGGACGGAGAGGACACGCGTAATAACGTTATGATGATGATTTCAGAGAGCACTAGTTTTATTTCTATCATCACTGATCATGACATACATATCGTTATAATACACTACATACAAGTAATAACGTTTTTTTTTTGTTGCACTGGCATTGTAATAGTAATTATAGTTAAAGTAGCAGTGGTTCATTTTGATGTTAATCGTCGTAATATATATTCGTAATCGGAAGACTTGATTTGGGCTTGCTAGAATTCGTGTAGTTTTTTTTTTTTCTTTGTCTATGTACTACAAAGTAGTAACGAAATCTTTGTGTAGGCTGTTCTTGCTTTGTATTTGTTGCAAAGCGGGAACGACGCGTCTCGCTGGCTGGTTGCCCCTAGTGCAGAAATTGTTGCCATTATTCATTCGCTTGTCCTTCATTCCGCCCGGGCCACTCGATTTCGATGATTCGCTCACACATTGGGCCTGTACTGCATACCGTTCCTCTGCTAGTCGACGGTGTTTAGCAATTCAGCCGTTGGTCTCATTTGTAGCCGGGAGAGCCCCAACAGTCCTATTCTAATAACGATGACGGTTATTATCGTTGTCTGGACGTAAATATATCACCTACGTCAGTACGCTCTGAACGCTCCACGTGGTCCGAGTAACAGTGGACCGTTTTAGTTCGTCGAATTCTTACGTGTTCTTGCATTGTCAACATTGGAGCCATAATCTTTACCACCCCATTCGTTTTGGCCGTCTAATTCTCAGTTGTGGCTAATAATATCGGGACTGCATTTCCTGCTATTTGATATTCACGTCTCCAGAGGCCTCAAAACGCGTAACGCATTGTTCTGTCAATGCCGGTTCTCAAGTCGGTGCTTTTTTTTTTATAGGTCATGGTTGTAGGATATCGGCCTGGGCAGACGCCGCAAGCTTTTAATCGTCGTCTACGAAGGTGTCGTTTGTTTCTTTCTTGAGTGCTCATCATTATTCTATTTGTATCGTGATATAATTGATGATCCTTTCTCTATATTGGTAGCCACAAGAGTGGGGCTTTGCTCCCAGGAGCAGCAGCCTGGTCCAGGCGGCGTGAACGGGCAGAGCTGTCAGCCTTGACGTGAACAGCGCACCCATTCCTCTATACACGTGGCAGTAGTAACATTAAATTCCTGCTAATAAGAGTCATAATACAAATTGTAGAATAGTGATAGACTAGGTAATCGGGTGCGTGAACCATAACACGATTTCGCTTGTGCTTCAATATATCCTGCGGTCGAAGGTTAACAGCACGCTATTGGTCCCAGCGCCATCCAAGATCACATTATTGCATAATCTTAAACTATATATATGATAAGCACTGGGAGATAGCGACCAATATTTTGGGCGTACTGCACGCGGCAGCAATATTGTCATTATTCTTACATTGAATGAGCCGACTAGCGTCGATAGGATTTGATCTGGCATTAATAATTACCCTGAGGAACATAGTCGGACGACTCCACGGTGATTTATTTCCTCAGTTTGTCCTGGCAGCGCACGTAAACGTGATCTCGACGTGGACGAACAGCAGTTTTAAGGACGTGATTGGGAGGGATTGCATTTAGGCTCAAACGTATCGAACACGCACCGAGCAGCCGCTACACGGATATTGAAGCGGCTATAGGCGCTAAGCCGAGTTCAATAACATCAAAAATATTCAACAGCTGTCGTAAGAGAGCTTACTTTACGTTTATAACTGTAGCGGCATAGCAGCCACGTCGCTGTCGAAAGCGCTCAGTGTCGCGATCAGGCTTAGGACTTGGGTCATCTTGAAAGACCACAGACCAGTGGAACACCATTGGTCAAAAAGCCAAAATATATAATACGTATGTAGGGACCTGTACGCTACAAGAGGGGCTGTTCTAGACTTGCATTTAGGCGCGAGCGTTATTCGGGATGCAGGTAAAGAACGACGGAAACGGATTCAACGGCTTTTTAAACTTTCGGTTTCCTGCATTCTAGTAACAACAATAACAACATCAGCAGCAGCGGCAATAACAGCGACACCAATGCCACCACTACTTTCCCGTCTACCTGCCTACGCACCTACCTATATACAATCGCCTACAGTAGAAGATCCAAAGTAGTTGCACGAGCCGAAACACCCATAGAGACTGTTATTCTCCCTTCTTAATATTACATTAGCAATGCCTTAATTTGTCAAGCATTCATGAAGCCCACAATTGACAAGATACAGTTCTGCCCGTGACGCCTTATTGTCGACTAAATGGACACTTCCAACTCTTTGTAGACTATAAGTAAATGCTAAAGACTCTGCATCGAGTCACAATCCCCTCCTCCGCGGTCGTCAACCGCTTTCATCATTGTAGATCCTTGATCGCAAGGGCTTTTGTTGCCCGTAGCGGGAGGACTGCTTGATGGCGTAGCTCGCGATGCCGAACTATATTGGCCAGGTAGTCTAGGTTGGTCGGACGTGACACACTCTCCGGTGTTCGCCCCTTGAAAGCAGCGGCCGCCTTCGATTTGTGTGGGCTGTGAACACGGTGGTGCCCCTCTTAGAGCCTGTGCCACTGTCATTTCTGGCGACGTTTGCTGGAGAGTATGTTGACTGATTGTCGCAACTGGCACAAGTTTTACAGTCTCTACACAGGAATCGGCTGTACCTGGAATGAAAAATGAGCGAAATCAATGGGTCGGTGCACGACAAGGCAACACTAAAACCAGGCAGGCGTTAGCATATGAGCGTGTACCGTGACAAAATATGTTTGTTACCTTTACGATCTAAATAATTACTCTTTGGATAAACTTTTCAGCAGAAATATGGCCAGTTGATAATTCAATGGATCGTGCTTATCGTATCGTAACGTCGTCGTTAATACCTCTATAGACACTATGGTTACATACAGCTGTTGCACACGCACAAAGAATATCCTGTACCCTTAGATGTGAGGACATATATCTATTCCTTATAGTACACATGTTGACCATCGGAAAAATGACCTAACGATTTTTGTGACATGTGTTTATGACAGAAACTTCATAGAAACCCTGATACAAGTTGGGAAAACGCAACAACAGGTACATAATTAGATTTTCACACGTAGAACATTATATATATACAATGTTCTACGTGTAATACACGAAATTCGTTGCCTGCTCCGACTGCTACACCTTTGGGCATACGCATTAAGGTTGAAGAAAAGCGTACTTTCTACCAACATTGGTTTTTAACGTCTACATGTTTCGTTGGCCACGTCCATAAGGTTGAAAAAGCCGACTGTGAGGCGCTGAGAAACACGTTAGAATCGATCTTTGTCTCGAAGATTGTTCTAAAAGTGGGTGATATATATATAGTTTGATTGACTCTGAATGTCTTCAATAACGTTATTAAACCTTAATTTGATCGCCTTAATTTTTTATATGATTCTCACGTCTTCTTGCTTGGAGCATGACCCTACGCATGACTACGACTTGATCGCGTACGAAACGTCCCAATGCGGATCGTTTGTCAAATCTTAATCGTTTTATCCAAGATTTTCACAGTTTTGACACCACGGACCTGTATCTCACAGACTAGTCGTTTGCTTAATTTAAAAGAAAACATCACACAGTGATAACGTCAGTTGGTTGATCTGAAACAATATGGCTCGATGAAAGATAGGCTAACAGCTACCGAAGTTGTAATAAAAATGGGAGCAATTTCCTCTTTTATTTTTACATTTCCAGCCTGCTTTGTCAAAATTAGTTGTGCCTCAAAAGCAAGTACGTTTCCAAGATAAGAGAAATTTTAAATTTTGTTTCATTCCATAGGTAAGAGAGAGCCCAGTCATGGGAATCATATGAAGGCATATAGTTTATCAAGAAGTGGAAAATATTACCTTTACCGTAAAAAGATGTGGATGTTGCATCGATACTAGGGACGTCTAATGACAGCCTTTTCTACTCAAATTAATTTTACGGTCTTTCGTCTTTATCACCGATTGAATACCAGAACTTCGCAAAGAAAGAATCTTGATAAACATTTTTTCAGCTATAGGTTTTAATTTTCAAATAAATTTAATAATATTGGCAGCTTTACTCAGAACCGGTTTAATTTTTAGGCGCTTCTAAGTCCAGGCTCGTAAATTGTGTAAGGCCGTTTCTTAGTTTTACACCGATTTGGTGAGCTTATTTGGAGAAGCGTGCCAATGTCATCGGACACATGTAGCTACGGTTAAGTAAACAAAATAAAAATTGAAATCTCAATTGAATTCCAGATCAAACCGCAGCACATACTTTCGGTTATTTTAATAAGACGATCTTACGTAAAACGTAAGCACTACTGACAAAGCGCTTCGCAGTAAGCAGACGACGGTCGACTCCACACTTAGCCTCGAAGTTATTTTTTCTAGTGAGTTATTGCCATGAACAATGTTTTTGAGCAGCTATTTCATTTAAAAGGGCAGGAGTTTATAATAATACGTCAATACTGGAACGTGGGCATCGTAGATGTTCTAGTACGTAGCTGATATTTATGGTATAGCTTTCATAAAGTGTTTGGTAGTATTCGTTATTACGGCACAACAGTTGAAGTTTTTTATTACGTGCGGCTAAACTGTGGGCAGTGATCCAATTATACAACCATGATATCAAGGAAGGTGCTCGCCTTTGTCCATGATCCCATATATATATAGGCGCCACGGAATACTTTCTCTAGTTTCTCAAGACGACGACGCGTACCTGTTGTACAGGTCGTTGGGGGTTGGTTGTTCACAGCTGTCCCGTGTCCGCTGCCCAGGTTGTGCCCAGGCGGGCCGCCTCCAGCCCCGCCACCGCCGCCTGTCGTGGATGAAGTGGGCGCTTTCTTGTAGGTTGCGCTGTTCATTGTTAGCTTACGAACGTTCTTATCAGGATGGAAGAGTATGATGTACACTTTAGGCGAAAATAAACAGAACAGGGCCACGTACGCAGACAGAGAGATTGATACACAGAGCGTTGTAATTTGGACCTGTAAGAAAAACAAAATTGGAAAATAAACAGAATTTCAATAGTAATGAGAGACTAGATGAGGTTAGTTCTCACAGGATATATGCAGCTTCAGAAACGTTTAATATTTAGAGTGAACAGACACGAAAGGGTAAACCGCAAAATCGTTTAATTAGAAAACGTATCTAAATTCACCGTACTGAATCGTGTATTTATTAAACCTTTACCAAAACTTCACAACAGCGCAAGACGACGATTACGGATGTATGTCTGTATGCGCTTAGGCTAATGTCTACAATAATTTATAAGGAGGAACGAATGGATTGCTTTATATGTACACACAATATTTATTTACGCATGTTCGACTATTTTCATGTCTTATATACAATCTCGTTCGCTTGCCAACGTTGTCTGCTCGATCTCGAACTGTCCGGCGGTCTCCGATCACTGGGTTTGCCTTTAGAAAGAGTTGAAGATTGTACGGTGGGTCGTCTTCCTCGATGCTTGTCTGAATCTTCGATAAGCGGACGTTTCAGTTATTTGCAGGAATAGGGGGCAGTCTAAGTATATAAAGAGTAAGTATGTATATGCCGTATGAGTTGGGTGCACCCATTCGCTACAAGTTTCATTTGAGTATATCGCCGTGGGACTACTGGGTGTATGGGCCAATTTGGCTTAATTAATCGAGGACCTTTGGAAGTAGTTCTTTGCAGGTCGTGATCGCAATAATTTAATATATGATGAAATCGTTATTGTCGTTTAATATGTGACATGAGTTCCATTTATTGAAAAAGTTTCGTTTCTTATCAAATGAATTTCTTCCAGTAAAAGCAATCAGTACGAATAGTTTCAGAATTATTTAATGTAGCACCAATTTCTCTCAATTTAATTAATTGCTAACTGCCCCAAAGGATTGTGTACTACTATATTTATTTATAAATGTTGAGCCCGTCGCCTTATATACAGTAATCATAGACAAAGATTCGCTATCACACGATTAGAACGGGTCTTGGACACGACCTGAGTATAGTTACTATAAGGTAAGTTACTAAGTGTAAGTTACTATAAAAAGACAACAGGAAAATTCTAAGAATTTTCCTGTTGTCTTTTTTTATAACATGTTTATGCCTTACTTCGGTAAAGGTATAGGCTTCGCGACCTTTCGACCTTTTAAATATTTGCAAATGTACATGTTTTAGTCGCTCAGATTTATTGCGATCTAACTATTTGGAAGGATCTTAAAAAGATTGATATTCTATATGAAATGCGGTTGTCTCCAACATGCTTATCCATAGTAACCTTCTTTGCGAATAGAATTCGAAGGCAAAAAAGACATATTTTTGCGAAACGGTAAAATATCAGTTAAATACGGTAAAAATAACTTCAGTCAATAGGGAACTTCACTGGGTTCAAGTGTTAAGTACATTAGCCGTAAGCAGCAGTTGGGTTTCCTGAATCACGTTGTAGAGGGGAAAAAACTGAAACATTATGGGAGTTCGACAACTATGCGACATGTGCTATTTTTTTTTAATCCCATGCCCACTAAAGCCTTCAACACGCAATTCTTAAATTTTAAGCGAGAGAAAAAGATCAGATCTTATCTTTATCTAAGGACTATCTATTTCAAACTCTTCGTGTCAAATGGATTTCACCTTAAATACTACTTGGCATTTACAATCGAAGCGAAGTTTTTTTGGAAAGCCGATTCTGGATGGAAGCTTTCTAGTCTTTTTTAATTTTATTTTTATATAATTATATATTACTTATATATTTATATTTTTAGGCATTCTTCCAAAATGTCGTTTTGATTGGATGATGACCACGGGTGAATTCAAAAATTTCTCAACTTAAAATAGTTTCTTAACTACAAGCTAAAAAAGCGAAAGCTAATACATCGTTGGCAAAAGTCTTCTGGATTTTGGTTTTACCCAGAGGATTCTTCCATGAATAATCGATGTAGCCCTAGCGACGACGAAGGCTTATGCTTTGATTACATTGTCCGCGAACCACGGAGACCAACAAGGGTACAAAGTCGAAGTCTCCTTCAAGCAGAAAGTATCATTTCGAAACAGATCGTGCACTTTGTAAACGTGTGCTTGTTTTTTTATTTGTTTTTCGTTAGTTTCTAGATAATTTTATGGTAGTTTCTCCAATTCGTTTACAGACCTAATCGCATCCATAAAAGAGTCCCTATTTTTCATAGTGCAATTTTACTTATATAAATGCAGTTGATTATTTCTCATATTTCATCGATCAGTCTCTTGACAATTAGTGCCCACATGCTACTGCTTTTTTTGGCTCCGTGACGGACATCGGGTGCCTCAAACACGTGATGACCAATCGTAAGTTTACACATATGGTGAAGCATGAAAGAGCTACGAGTGCGCTGACTTCGTCCATCTGGAGTCCATTTGGCCATTTGCCACAGGTCTAATAAATAATCAAGGGTGACTGACCAAGTTCTACTCGACTTAGTCACGCAAAAAAAGAAAAACTAGGATTGAGTGCGCCTCTGGTTGAAGACTACTTTCAGAGCCCTCACCTTTGTGAGTTAGCGTTGTGCAAAGGACTACTGGCTACAACGGAAGGTTATAGTAATAACACACACGGGACAAAGAGTAGAGCCACGGGTATCTATTGCCCCTTACTGGTCTCCGTTTTTTCTTTCAGTCTGTCGTTGCCTGGTCCATCCCGTTTAAGGAAATCAGCAGGGCCGGTTCACTGGCTTCCTGGATCGCCTGAACGGGCATGGTGTCTGATGAACCGGAAAGTGTCTTGCGCCCACCAGAAACTCTCTTGCACGGGAGCTGCAGCCGCAACACACGGCTGACGCGTTCTCATTCAATTCGCTTGCAGACTGGTTTAAAGGTCGTAGTGTAGCCGACTTCGGGACACATGAGTGCTCCGACAGATACACCTGCGCTACTCTGGGGTATCCAAGCCCAGGATGCGGCAAGCCAAGTATGCCACGCACGTCAGGAAAGAAAAAGAAGCGCTTGCTTTCTTGAACTCCAACAGGGTCTATGAAGTCTGCCGCTTGGACGGACCAGTTTCCTTTCAACGCTCCATCTTGCTGAACTGACGTCTTTCATTTTCCTCTAGCGGAAATCGAGAAGAGCTATCCTTATACTAGAAGGGTTTACAAGTTGGGGCGCTTTAGCGTTACACACTACAACAGAGGAACCTCTTATAGGTGAGATACAGGCAAGCTCCTAGATGGAATGGAACGTGTCAAATACTAGAATGGCAGGCAAGCGTAGGAGAGAATGGACTTTGTGTGAAAGTTTAACGTAGTGATGGACCGGCATGTCAATGGTAGAGGGATCATCAATAAGGAGGCTAGTGCTGCGGTAACCATGGCCCACGACCCCCACTGCGTTGCCAAGGCTACTGTTGGATGAGATAGATCATTGAAGAAGGAAAGGTAGGAAATAGGTGTGTCAGAATTGTGCTATTCTCTGCTTGGCGTTTAATGTCACATACTGGTAATGGGTACGTGCATCATGGGCTACGACAGCGGCACTAATATAGCGACGACGCTTCTGTTGTAAAAGCACTGGTCAAGCCAGTCAGCTGCTTCATCCGAATACCCACAGCAGTCGATATCAATGTCTTCTTCATAAAATTATTAAACTTTGAAATTGAAGGATAGAATTAGGTAGTGTTGTCTTTCACGGCCACTTTATTATTACCTCGTGCAATTTAACTAATGTTAACCAAGCAACGAAATAAGGATAGCTAACTACTTAATGTATTCATATACTTTTCCAATATCAACTGTCTGAAGGAACTCTGATTTATTGTTGAGTTGCGGGACTAAATGTCGCGGCACGCAACTCAATATATGGATATATTTCGTTGAAATAGTTTAATAAGGCTCTAACAATTAATCTGTTTCTTTGCAGCAGCTCTTTTCCTTTGGTGGGATTGCCCAAATTCGCTCAGCGTACGCACCACCTAAGTATGGAAAATATATACTCACTCTCCATCAGCATCTATTCTATTTATAAGTGACAACTGTGCAATTTTTTCAGTGGTTCGGCGGGAGTTGTCATCGAGTTGCCATATTTTTCCTCGCATAAGTGGCATTTGCTACAATACCCGTCTAATTGTTTGATGGAAGTCATGTTTATGCTTTTGCTGGAGCTTTTTTTTCATAGATTTGCGGACAAATTTTCAACAGCGGCAATGTGTGGGTGGCTTGATATTGGCGTGTTGAAAGTTGTTAGAGCCTTGCTGGCTCATGTGGGGCACAGAAAGATCGGGCGTTTTTGCCGTCACAAGGTTGAACTTCAAAGAAGGCTCAACTTATGCGAAAGTCAATTTTGGACAAAATAGTTGTTGTAAGCGGGGGAGTCGCATTGGTAGTATACATATAGCCTGAATATTTACAGTCAGTCCTTGGTTATTTACGAATGTAACTTCGTTAGAAGGTCATCAAAGGAATAATCACGAGGTACTGTCGTCCAGAAAATGTTTTAGCTAACCAGAGAGAGAGCATCGATAATAGGCTTTATGCCATTATAATACGGGGTTTCTCGAAAGCACCTATTACGAATCTGTGACGAGGGCATTGCAGGTAAACAAAAAGACGAAAAAAAAATCTAGTCGGAATACGTGTTTTGTGATCAATATATGCAATAATTATCGGCAGAAAACCCTCCTAGAGCATACCATCGTCATAGAAAAGGTATAGGTACGTCTACGGCGTTTGTCAAAAAGGATTTAAGAGAAAGAATACGCTCGAACAGAATAAAGTGAGCAGCGGCAAACAGATTCGGACGCGGACTGATATTCGTTCTTCTCTATAGTTATTAGAGGAGTTTGTTATAACGACAAACTGGCTCAAAGCGAAATACTCAGTGTTGCCAAATATCCGTTATAATTTTCAAACAGCTTCACGGATGCATACTTAAACATGACCGGCACGCACAGCATGACGCCAATGCACGATCCCATGACCACGCTTCGATGACGTGGCAGCACATCGAGAAAAACAAGATTCGAGTAATGATTTCGGCCTCCATATTCTTCAGGGTTACATTCCTGCGACTTCGGTTACCTCACGGAGAGCGATACGTGGCGTATCTCATCCTACTCTCGATTTGTTTTAACAGGCCATATATGGCACGGTTAGAAGAAACTGTGCAAATCTAAAGTACACTACTGTTGAGAAATAACACATTTCAAGCCATAGAATAACGCTTACTCTGCACACTTCATGGAATATATATATATATATATATATATATATATATATATATATATATATAGAGAGAGAGAGAGAGAGAGAGAGAGAGAGAGAGGAAGCTGATCCACCGAATGAAGGACTAACCTGGAAATTGTTACCCGTCCCGAAATAAATGGGTACAAAGGCTAGCCAGATAATGCATGTGGTGTACATCGTGAAGCCGATGAACTTGCTCTCGTTAAAGTTTTCAGGAATTTTTCGCGTCTTGATAGCGTATACGGTACAAGTAGTTATGAGAAACATATTGTAGACGAGCGAAACGAGAAACGATGAATCACGGATTTTACATTTGAGGATCACTTGATTACGTCGACCTTCGGGATACTCAGTCCGCGTAGCTGGTGGCTCGAGCACGAACCAGACTAACGTAGCCATCACCTGTAATAATTTGCGACAGTTGTTACTCTAGCACTGGAATCATGTTATGTATTAGGTAAGTTGTTTCCTACCTATTTAATGATGATAATTTCAGCCTATGTTTACACAGTGTGGTCGACGCAGATTTCATTCTTGAAGCACATATAGAAACGAAGTTGAAAGCGGGATCACCTTGTCGAATTTATGTGTTTGAAGGATCTTTGCAAAGGTATATTCTTGTATCACGATAACAGTGTGGCCGTCCTGTTGGAAATCAAATTGGCCAGCTTTAGCAAAGCGTTTCTTAGGACTTCTTTTTTTCTTTCAAGTCCAATTTTTATACAGTCGAAACATCAATCATTGGCTTAAAATGCCACTCCCCTATGTGTAGCATGTAGACTTATTGTTGTCCCGTAAATGCAATTAATTTCTCTAATCATTACTTTTCGTCTTCACGCTTCCAAATGTTACTAACAGCATGAATCATCGTTCAAATGTACATTTTCAATTTATAGTATCTCAAAATGCGTTGGTACCAAGCTCACGAACTGTTTGTCTTCAAGTTTTTAAGAAGCTGGGCTGTCACGTTCCAATGCTGTTTCTTGCCTAACGTAACTCATCAATTTGTTTGTATGTTTGTGATCTATGAGGACGATTCTACCGATCTTTAAATATTTCCTCTATTCGAGACATTCTCCTATCTCTAATACTCTTTTAAATTTAATTTTACTCCATTCATTATTTCCGATTGATTAAACTTTAAAAAAGAGAACAGTTAGGAAGTTAAGTTGGGTACAGCTTTTTCACACACCCCGTATATATATACCGGAAGAGGCAAGAGTGTCTCGTCAGTTATGGGGGGTTTTCATTTCAAATATATTACAGTTGTGCAATATACCCAAATTATTGGAATAAAAACAAAGGCAAGATGCATGGAAAAGGTTAGGCTATTTGGGCCAGAGTTCGCTTAATGCTATCGCTGGGAACGTAAAAATCTATATCAGTATACTCGTCAAAGACCCTTTGCTAATATTAAAGTGGCTTAAATAAGCTAAATAAATACACTCACTGCAATGTCTTCATTTTCAAGGAGATTTCAAATGAAGACATTTTATATGGACAGGGTTATGTGAGGTGGTGCTAGAAAGATCACCAATGATGACGTCGGCTGAAGAAGGGACTCATTCAACAGAGCTAAAGAGCGCTGTGCTTATGGCTTTGAAAGAGGATGTAAATATATTAAAGGTATAATTATTTGTTATTATAGGTCGAAAATGATAATTTGTGGTATCAAGCAAGGTTTTTTAGCGGTTTAGGTATTGGCGCATCGAAATTTGGTTTGGAAACAAAGATGCGCACACTGTTTCCCTAAGCACACCTGACTACGCTGAAGTCTCGTACACCTATCATGGTGACGCATGAGTATAATATAAATAACAGCCACGGTAAATGCTGACACATACAAGATCGAGCTTCTAGACGCATTGCCTGTTGAGATTGACAGCATATTTTTTTTCAAAAGGAGCCACATATGTTACCCATATACTCATCGGCGTTAAACCACCTTTCATCGTCCTTTCAATTCTTCAATAGGAAATTGGTACTTGATAATAATACCTACAAAACGTAATTTGTTTCCAGTTTGTCTTTGAATATATAGCTCTGGGATGGGCAAACCTATAGCAGTAGAACGGAAGCTCGGTGAAAGTAAAGCTTAGCTATCGTACTAGAAATTTAACAAACGAACGTGCAAGGTAAAGTCCATCACTGTCGAATGCGCGTGCGTCTCAAAAAGTCCAAAAAGATTAAAACTATAGAATCAGTGTTTCTTTTCTAGAGAAAGAAACACCAATAGCCCTAATCAGTAGCTTCTACCTTCGCCCATATACATATATGTGGTATATTAATCTTTTCTAATTGACTCCGTTTAACCTAACGTGTTAAAAGTACCAATTCTCTAAATACGTCTATTAAGGCTCTGTCCTTACGGCATGCACAACTGGTATCAAATCATATGTTTTCCTTCTGAGCGCTTTAATTTCCACATTAATCGCACATTCATTCGATTGCGTGGCAGGCCAAGTTGCCATATAAGTCAATATATGGCAGTAGGACGATCAGATATTACAGTGCTGTGGCGATACTAACGTATATGAGTTCAGGCGTTTAGTTCATGGACCTATTCCGCTCTTGATTAAGACAGGTTTCTCTTGCTCGCTGAAAATAATTATTGTTCATATATATTCCAAAGTTAAGGGCACTATGGGTCGACTTATGGGAAATGCATCGCCGTTCCCTCATTGCTCAGACACTTTTGCGGCGTAAAGGCTGAAGTTGGACCGGTAGCCTTGAACTCAGTATAAGCTGCATAAAACAAGGCCGAACTCGCTCCTCAGCCAATTTCATGGTTTTCAGAACAAAGGTTCTATTTTAAACAGGTAAAATGAACGTATTTATCAATCAACGCTGATTTAGCTCTAGAGGATATTGATGTGTTGTGTGCTTGCATTAACGGCGTATGTCGTAACAGGGTAACAGGCCTGAGGGCGAACGTCTACATAACATGAGAAATAAGCAGGCTTTCTCAAAGCTTACAGCCCAGGTGCCCCCGGCTACTGGCGTGAGACAAGCGGCAGATGTTAAGCCTTGCATTTCTGGGTGCCGGTCAGGGTAGAAGTTACACAGATTGCAATTTCGTTAAATATAAGCATAACTAGAGGCAAATATAATAATATTCACTTTAATAAATACATTTTAGTACCGGTAACTTCTTTATGCTTCGAAATCCTACACTCAATCAGTAAGTTATCTCGTCACCTTGGCAAAACGCGTTCGAGGTGCACTAAGCTCAGAAGAAGAATTCAGAGGGCGGACCCTTGAAATTTTTTTCAGATACATCTACTCATACCCAGTTCTTTCAGAGTTTGTGTAGGAACCAAGTGGACGGTTCTTTTTCATTTTCTATATATCTATTGTTAGAAAACGATATTCTCATTCAGCTCGATACGCCTTTGCTGGGTGTCCTTTACGACGTAAACGATTTTACTAATCCATATTTTTAAATATCGAGATAGATATCTACAAATTAATAACAGGCTAACTACATAACTTTACTATACTCTGTGAAAGAACGCCTAACTTAATTGTCGCATGCAATCCGATTACAAGGTTCCTCGCCCCGTGCGAGTTTGTGAAGTTGATCAGGAAAGGTCGTAGTTAATGCAAAGTAAGGCTAACTCCAAATGCAGGCAAATTTATAGATATTAGTGCATCACTAATCAAAAAACCATTGCGACACTAGCAAATATAAATACGGTGCAATAGAACACACAATGTGTTCCCTTTTCCAGATTCGACGTACTTCTATACACAGGCTAGAGTGTGATTCTCGGGGGATGCATCTCACTCCAGCCATCATTGAATTATATATACGAAGTATATCGCTTATGCACTACTAGTAGTTTTGATAGCTGTCGTTAGGGGTATCGTGATGAAATCCCAAGTTATCAAATCAGAATCTACATTTTCCAGTTGTACTATATAAAAGAGCTCCGACTATTTGACGTATCGCTGATGTTAACATACTTGAGCTGGGTTAGACGGGACGGTTTTTCTACGTACCTGAACGGATATGAGCATGCAGGTGATGACCATCTGGCTTTTCGGCGAGATGAAGGACGGTCTTCTCGCTGAGCGACGCGCAGAGTCAAAAATTCGACTGATTCGGTTCGTTTTGGTAAGCAGAGAACCGTAAATGATTGAAAAGCCCAGCCCGACACCAAATCTGAATGGAGAAATGAAATAGAAGTCATCTGAATGATAATTGCAAGAGTCACAAATAATCAAGATGAAGTGTTTGGGCATGAATAATAACTCTTCATAGTCGGAACATTTTGCTAAGGCAGCCATTAGTTGTTTTTGTGTGTATAATTTTTTAGAAACTCTGCTTTGAACCAGTTGTCAAATTTATCATTGATGAAACTTTGCTATACAGGTTACGCAGATCTCAACGCTTTTTACGGATGAGCTAACAATGTAACTTGGCGCTCTAAATATTGTTATGAATAGATTGTTGCCTGCAAAAGAAATGAACGCAATGACTTCATGCTTTGGTAGAGGTAAATACGACGGCAAATCATAATATATTTTAGGAATATCTAAAGGTAGACGCGGACGATGCACGCAAGAGTCACTATACGTCGTCGTACCGTTGTGCTGTGCACGATACTGGCGTCGGTTTGAGCAATAGCACGAACGTCATTAAGTAGCAAATCAGGATGCCGGATAGTAGCATATAACTGAGTTCTCGGCCTGACGCCTTGACGATCGGCGTTTCATTGTTTCTCACAAACACCGCTATTGTACCACATGTGAGAACGATGCCCAGCAGAGCTACCGCGATGGGAACGGCGGAAAACAGGTTATTCCATTGCATATGCTGTACGGGCAAATCGAAACAGGAACGCTTGTGTGGATGCGGCCATCTCGATGGGCCACAATCGGCGCACGTCGACTCGTTCACTACGAACTCATGCGGTTCACAGCGCGTGCAGATCCAACAGCAATGGTCACCCGCCTGAACCTTCTTCACCTCTCCAATGCCGCACTCGGCGGAACATACGGACACCGGAATGACCCTGGTCCAGAAAGGGAGCACAACAACAAAAACATCGCACCACCATAATTATCATAATCTGCCCCTCATCTATTGGACGCTCAAAATGAAGCCGTACACGTTAGCTATCTGCATAGTTAGCCAGATATAATATGCCATGGTTTAAAAAGATTAGAAACCCAGGCCTTGTTGTCGCGTAGTTGCTGATCGCGATGGCCGTCATTGTAGCAATTGTTACCCTTTTTGTTATTGATGGCCATTTAGATGTGACGTCATTGTCATAAAAGCTTACACAGTTGATTGTGGGTTTGCGAATTACTATGCCTATCATCTGATACGCTGATCGCGACCAGCGGAAGTTGCAGTAATTGCCGCCACAGTGACCTTAGGGACATCCTCTCTAAACCCGCCCTCCTTCAGACAGCAATCGAATCGAAATGAGTCACGTACAAAATACGTGATGCCCAAGACCGACCCATCAACCAACCGGCCGCGCACAATTTGATCTATTTGAAACCTTGAAGTACCCTTTTCTTATTTCTATGCTACCGCACAAGTCGGCTTTTGCACTTTCATCACACACATAAACACATAAGCGAACAGGTGGAAGGGAAACGGTGAGCCGGAAAGAATTAGGACAGAAAATAGAAGAGGGCAGGCAGCTGCGGCCGCTATGAAGATTTTTTAGAGGGCCTGGGTCTGACATTCTTAAAAACTATAGGCACATCGATGTCAGACAATACATAATAGAAATAAATGTAAGGCGGTGAGCGGTTATTTTCGAGCGAGATGAGATTTCAAGTATTCGTTACGTTTTTAATTAAGGTCAATAGAGTTCGTTGTAATGAACGTTCATCGCATACATTAATTTAGAGCACAAATGAGAAAACGGAGCAAACGAAAAAGCCATGCCACATAATTAATCGTGTCCTAATTGTAAACTATAGCGGAATCCTGCCAAAAGCCAAATCATCGAGGTTTTCCCTAATGAACGTTACCTAGACACTATGTATATAAATTCACAGAAGGAATTACTAATGCTGCAGCTGTCCGAGTGCTGTGCTTACCTGTCGTGTGTCTCCCTCCTTCCAAAGGTGATGTCTCCGGCCATGAGCTCGAGTCCTTCTTCAACTCCTAGCCATTTACCAACTTGAATATATTGTAATTCACCGGAGCTGTAATTCCTTCTATAATTGTAGATTATGTACGGTGCCTGTGCGTCTCCCTTCTCGTCGAAACGCACTGTTGAATTAACTAGGTCTGCAAAATGAAAATAAAAATAAAAAGATGACGAGCGTCAACTCTAAATATGTTTATTGTGTAATAACTCGTCCAACGGTGAAAAATACAGTATTTCTTATGCACCGTAGATTCATGCCGTTTCGCTCCTGCAGTTATGAATTTAGGGCTTGGTTTGAGTTGCTACTATATGATGTCATTTGTAGCCCCACGGCCAAGAATGATGTAGGCTATAGGCATCCCACTAAGCTCCAAATCTCTACTGAGCCTCTTCTAGCTTCCTAGCTTGCCCTGTTTCTCGGTCATTTTTTCGACATCGTTCCGAAAGCGATGAGAAGTGACCAGCTGAATCTCTGCTCCCGAAAGGGTCTCCTGTAAATTGCGACTAAGTTACTTACGGGGCAACAAATAAGTATCACTGAGAATGCGTTTAGCAGGCACTGCAGTACAATACACCACGGTAATCACTAAATTAGCCCTCAGAGGAGAGTCCGCGTCTTTGCGACCCACTTGGATAGGGAAAAGGGGGGGTGAATAGGGAAACGGCAATAACAAAGACATTGCAGACCACACTCAGTCTAAATTATTCGCTCATTTTTCGTCTAGGCCGGAGTTTATCTCTGGCTAGATTACCAGCACCATCGTTCACCGTTGTCAGCGAGAAGAACCGCTCTACCACCGCAGGGGTAAGTAACGTTGGGCATTTGTAAATCTTCTGGGAAAGAAATGCCTGTCCTTTGGGCAGCCGCAAACAGCGCGCCGGCCCTATTTTTTTTCGAGTGACTTTTCCGCTGAAACAGAGTCGTTCGGGCTCAGGGAACTCCAACCCGGATTGCTCGGACCCCGTTCTCGGCGATTTTTGAAGATTTTTTTCCGCTGTCGGGTGCTCCGTACCAAAATCCTTCTTTTCGTACCCTACCCATCCGAGCGTCGCGCGAGGTAACCTTCACCAAGGCGTATGACCGAGGATCAACAGGAGTAACAACAAAGCATAAGGCCGCCTGCGACGTTTCTCCCTTCGTTCCCTATCATAGCAGGAACACTTAATTTGCCAGCCTTATTTTTAATGCGATTATATTGCTCGCTATAAACTGATTCAATAACATTGTTCCCCAGGGAGTAGACAGAGCAAGACGAGAGAGATGTGTAAATATTCATTCACCACGTGAAAACCCGTACTTAACTGCCTCCCGTTAGCCGTGCGCTAAGGCAAAATGGAAAAACCAATTAATGAGCTTCGGTGAGATCATGCATTAATCTGGTTTTTAGCCTTAAATTAAAATGGAGCCCTGAGCATAAACTCTTTTCTAAATATTTCCCTCCTTTCTGCTCTACCGCAGGTTTTAACTGGTATCATTTTGTTGACATGTTAAGTCCTATCCTAGGACCCCTCTAATCGATTTCGGCTTTGTCGTGCGCATGTATATTGTACGTACATACTGCATAAGGCAAACACTACCACAACCAACATTTGCACGAGGATAACGACTTGATACATCGGCTAATGCGAGCTTCCGTTGCACTGGGTTTCTCCGAGAACAGGTTTTACTGTCTTGTAAATCACTATCATTCATGGTTGTTATTATTATTATTACTACTATCAATAATACGTTCGTCGAGGGACAAATTGTTTCGGCAAAATGGCTGATAATGCTGTTGCTAGAGTACCCGCATCATTTGCTTCGTCTCGCCTTAGCATGTATAGTTATAAACACTGAATACTGGATTATAGTATTAGTCTGTGTGAGTTCGATGTGACGAAACGGTATGATCGTCAGTGGGTGCTATTCTCCTGCGGATTTCACTGGCTATCTAGCAAGCAAACAGTATGGCAATCGCAGACGTAGCAAAGATATTGATAACATTAATCATTAACCCCTGAGAACGGGCAGGCAGTATTATATTTCGACGACTTTACGACCGGTGGGTGTCACAAGCATGCCGATGTCACTATGTTTACCATTTACAAAGCGTAAAGAATGGCGTAATGTCACCTGGGATTGAATAGATGTATGCAGTGCATGCGTATGCACATTCAGCCGATGTCCGTTTGTCGTTAGCTGACTACTTGTACGAGGAACCTTCTGGGCTTTGTAGGAACGAGACAACAGGAGATAGAATGCAAAGGAAGACTGGTTGGTGATCGTGCCTTAAAACAAGCTTCTTTGGGAGTCGTCCTTGAACACGTTTAAAGGGCCCAATGATATAAGTGAAGCCGAAGTGCTTGAAACCTTCCGAAATGAAGCTTGTAAAATCCCGGAGTCCAGATGTATTTTCCACTTATATTTTTTGATAGAATGGAGCCCCTGAAAGGCCACTTTAGCGGCCATAGATAATTTAAAAGGGCTATTTTTTATGCCAACGAGCAGTGTCTGCTTCATAGGCCCCTTTCTGTAGCATGCTTTGTGAATATAAGGGCCGTACGCTAAGCGTGTGTGTAAATATACTGAGCATTTCCAGAAAGAGAAAAAACTCCTATATGTATTTAATAGCAGCGTAGAATTAACCATAGAATAGCCGGACTTTTTAAGCAATTCCTTTTGAATCTCTGACTTTGTATTGGCGTGAGTGAAACGAGACGTGAACAGACGTGAACCGATCAAAGTAAATGATTCTGAAAAAAAAACAAAATGATTCTGAATGAACATTTGTTTGCGTCCTAACCTTCTTTGCAAACTTCTCTCTCTGTGAATTATGGGAAAAATCGTTCCTCATCATTATCACTTTAGTTAGGAACGCTTTCCGCGATAGTTTCCTGAGGCGATCATCGCGTGCCCCATACACTATACGGGCATGTATGTTGCATATACTTAGATGTAGGCAGAGTAGCGAACACTTGATATGTGGTACAATATTTGTAGTGTGACACCGCTAGGTAACATGGTGCCTCTGATGCTAGTATTGAAAAAGTGCACAAAAATCACTCATTTGGACTAATGGTGACGGCCATTTTCCGCACACCTCACTCCAACAAAATACATTATCGTCCTTAGTCGACCTGCGCAATTGGACGCGGTACCCGTCGTGTGAGGATCTATTACATTGAATAGATTTCTGGCGAACAAGTGTGTTTGCGATAGTCGTCTGATAGTAGTCGCTGGCCGGCGTCACGCATCAATGTCAGTACCAAAGTGAGTGTCCAAGTACTTCAACTTCCAGTTGATCTATGGCAGTGAAGTAATTTCTCAAATTAGCGTGCATTCAATTTTTGCTAACCAACGGAAATCAGTCAGCATGATCAGCAACGATTCCCGATTGATGCTTTTTGCCGTAACGAAGTTGTTCATTTTATTAGAGATTCATCAGAACGCGCTAATAGTGACCGAAATAGTCTCTTTTTCCAAAAATAAAGACCGAATGGAAATCACTGGACCGGCAACAGTATTATGGTGAAGAGTTGAACAATAGTAATAGTCTATTGCATAACAGTGACTCAATCCAAAGGGTTGTAGTATTTCTCGAAGGAAATCTTGATACTGATTACTGCCCAAACACAGAGAAGCCCATTACGGGGAAAATCACGTTTCTAAGTAAGGCTTACAGCAACATTACGTGCTCAGGATCAAATGGCTTGGTTTTTTTACGAAAAAAATGCACGTAAAATCACGCATATAATTGATCATAGCACAGCTAGAGACCTGGTCTAGGTTTACAATAGGTTAACGAGATAGAGTATTTAGTGACTTACGAACATGTTATTCCCATAATTCATTATATACCTTTATGACAACTTGCTTAAACTATTCACTGCTTTATTATCTATTACTTTCTCACAAAATTTACATGTGTAGTAGTTTTATCGTAGGTATTAAACAAAATACCCTCCTTTGATAAACAATTTATCTCAAAGTTGAAACTCTTGCGTCAAGATATTGTCAGTTTTCAGCCAGTGACTTATTGTCCCGACCGAATCCTTGGATGCGATCGAATAACAGGCCTCGAGATCGGCAATACAAAAGCAAGCGCACCATCGGCCAGGTTGCCAGTAGAGCCAAGTAAGCTGGCGTCTGTCAGAGGTAGGTCATCAACCTTTACGTGCCGGAACATTTTACAGAGCTAGTAAAGGCAAAATGCCAGGGGTCAAATCCGCTAAAGCGGCAGGCTGCAAAATTTGGTAGCAGCATCAGGTCGTAACTTAGGTGAAGCAGAGGACAGGAGAAGGAATCTCGGCCGTGTTATCTGGGAATCTAGGAGAACTTACGGAACCAGGTTTTACAAATAACAATGGACCAATGACGCACTACTAATACTCGAAAACGGATTTTACCGTCAGGAAGTTGCAGATCTCAACTGTGAAGACTTCAGGCATAAAAAAAAAAGGCTGAAATTGCAAGAAGACTGCTACAGTGACGTGCAAACGCAGAGACAGGGCAGCGACCAAGGCCGCTGGAGGAAAGGAGGCCGTCAACTGCAGGAGACTTACTATCGTAGTAGTAGGCGTAAATCTTAAGTGAACGCAGCCGCCGGTAAGAATGGCCGTGTACAACAGTAGAAACGGAAAATGTACAGCTATTAATTCGATGGGCCCACTCGCTTTCCACTACTATTTTGTAGTACTAATAAATAAAAGAACAATTATTAACTAATAATAAAGGTTATTTTTTCGTCACAAGATATTTTTCATATGGTATTTTCTTCAAAGCTTGATCAAATTCTTCTTGAAATAGTATCGTCCTTTGCGGCCGCCACTCATTGAGTTCTTGTTTAGCTGCAGTGTCCAGGCCTATGCTGAACTGCATACAGTTGGCAATAGTGGAACTGATCTTCCGATGACGGTGACATGCGCCATAAAATTAGTATGAATAGATTAATTTGCTTTATTTATGTAATCGAGCTTATCAACTTTATGGCCAGTGGGGCTCTTGCTTTACATAGCAAAAGCATAGTGATGCTTTCAGCTCTTGCAACCCTTCATCCCTTGTCATGAATCAATTTTACTCGAGCAATCGTCACCGAAGAGCTCCCTGTCCGTCTTGCTCTGTTAATCAAACGTCTGTCTGCGTTCCATATTTCCACAGGAA